GTCCACAATTACTTGTGAACACTCTAGCGGTCGCATTTTTGCCTCAATCATCATCAAACTTGGTCAGGATGCTTATCTAGTTGAAAGCTCGGATGAGTTCGAACATGGGTCATCTCGGATGAAAAAAACTAGGTCACAAGAGCTAAAAATAGAAAAACCTTGTGAACACTCTAGAGGTCACATTTTTGACCCAATCATCATCAAACTTGGTCAGGATGTTTGTCTAGGTGATAGCTTGGATGAGTTCGAACATGGGTCATCTCGGATGAAAAAGTAGGTCACAGGAGCTATAAATAGAAAAACCTTGTGAACACTCTAGTGGTCACATTTTGAACCAATCATCATCAAACTTGGTCAGAATGCTTGTCTAGTCAATTGCTTGGATGAGTTCGAACATGGGTCATCTCTGATGAAAAACTAGGTCACAGGAGCTAAAAATAGAAAAACCTTGTGAACACTCTAGTGGTCACATTTTTGACCCAATCATCATCAAACTTTGTCAGGATGCTTGTTTAGATATTAGCTCGGATGAGTTCGAATATGGGTCATCTCGGATGAAAAACTAGGTCACCGGAGCTATAAATAGAAAAACCTTGTGAACACTCTAGTGGTCACATTTTTGCATCAATCATCATCAAACTTGGTCAGGATGCTTATCTAGTTGATAGCTTGGATGAGTTCGAACATGGGTCATCTCGGATGAAAAAGTAGGTCACCAGAGCTAAAAATGAGAAAACCTTGTTAACACTTTAGCGGTCACATTTTTGCATCAATCATCATCAAACTTGATCAAGATGCTTGTCTAGGTGATAGCTCGGATGAGTTCGAACATGGGTCATCTCGGATGAAAAACTAGGTCACAGGAGCTAAAAATAGAAAAACCTTGTTAACACTCTAGTGGTCACAATTTTGACTCAATTGTCATCAAACTTGGTCAGGAAACTTGTCTAGGTCATTGCTGGCAATAAATCGAACATGGGACATTTCGGATGAAAAACTAGGTCACAGGAGCTAAAATAGAAAAAATCTTGTTAACACTCTAGTGGCTACTGTTGTGATCCAAATATTCTGTTAATTGGTCTGAAAGTTTGTTTTGATGATTTCTAAGTCAAGATCGAACATGGGTCATCTTGGATGAAAAACTAGGTCACACCGCCCAAATATGGAAAAACCTTGTTAACATTCTAGTGGTCACATTTTCGACTCAATTATCATCAAACTTGGTCAGGATGTTTGTCTAGGTAATTGCTTGGATGAGTTCGAAATCGCATGTGAAACTAGGTCACCGGAGCTAAAAATAGAAAAATCTTGTTAACACTCTAGTTGCTACTGTTTTGATCCAAGTATCCTGGAAATTGGTCTGAAAGTTTGTTTTGATGATTTCTAGGTCAAGTTTGAATATGTGTCACCTGGGTAAAAAACTAGGTCGCACTGCTCAAATATGGAAAATCCTTGTTAACACTGTAGTGGTCACATTTTTGACTCACCTGTCATGAGACTTGGTCAGAATGCTTGTCTAGGTAATTGTTTGGATGAGTTTGATAATTCAGGTGAGCGATCTAGGGCCATCATGGCCCTCTTGTTTAATAACTCAGACATGGTGTTTTGAAGGTACTGGAAACTTCTGATATTTCTCTGGCATTGTAATTCTTTCTTGTTTGTGTGTAGGAAATGAGAAGTATTTTTGGGGTTTTGCCCGAAACTAAGCATTTTGGTAGCTTTGTATGTGTTTGTGACTCTCCGATTATGGAGGTGAAAAAGTTAAAAATCAAGCCTTGACAGTTGGCGCCAAACAAGTAAGAAATTTCGGATAAATTTTATGAAAAATCTAAACATATGAGAGACACTTTATTGGTCATTTTTGAAAATGCCATAGGTTGCACTGCGTGTTAGTGATATTTTTAAAGGAATCAGACGGTTTCTGGAATATGCTGTACCTTCATGAAGATTGCCCATATTGGTATATTTTAGGTGTGATTTTGGCTGGTTGGGGGGTAAATATAAATTGCTGTCAGTCATTTTTTCAAGGAGCAATGCATGCAAACTATCATTTTCTTCAATGTATGTCATATATCATTGAATAATGCTGTGCAACTGGTTATCTGCCTGTGAAACAGATTTTGAAATATTTGGAATTGTGTTTCTGGTCACACTGAAATACAAAATTGTTCATTTTTAGGTCCCCTGCCCCCTTATACTAGTGATTGCACCATCTCGGCAGTGAATAAAAACAATGATTTTGATTGGCTAATAAAAATAAAACCTTTCTTGATACTGATTCTAACAAAATGTTATAAGCGTCTGTTACTTAAAGTTATTTCTCTTATGAACTACTGTGAATAGATTAACAAATTTCAAATATAAACACTTTGAAGGATATTCTAAAGTTATACAGATTTGAAAGTAAGAATGATTAAAATACCTACTCTTTATATCATGATAAATTTATACATGAATTGCTATATATTTTTAATGCAAATGGCGAATTTATAAAATGGTAATCAAGTGAAGTATAAGGTACATTTCCGGCACAATTCTATTGTTATTCAAATAAAATGTCAGAGAAAGGATTTACCTATATCGCTCATATTCACGACCTCTTAATTAAGAATTCGGTTCTTTATATGCCAGCAACTTCACCGTGTATTTTATGAGAAACACGCTTATCATTTTAGATGAAAGTTCCTATGTCAGGATGTCAGAATGAAATACATAGACGAAGCTTTTAAGAAATTTTACTTCTCACCTGTGCATGGCTTATTTTTATGCCCCCGCCATATAATGGCTGGAGCATATAGTGTTACCCTGTTCCGTCAATCTGTCATTCCGTCATCATCAGTTTCCGTTCACTATCTTAGTAACAGTTGCACACATTCAACTCAAATTTCATATATGGATATATCATGAGAAAATACAGGTCAAGTTCGAATTTGGTCATGGTTCGATGATTTTTGGCAGAGTTATGTCCCTTTCACTTTGAAAATAATATGAAATTTTCAGTTTCCGTTCATTATCTCCTCTAGGTTATTACAAATTCAACTCAAATTTGACATATGGATACGTCAAAGAAATGGGCAGGTCAAGTTTGCATTTTGTCATGGTTCGATGATTTTTGGCAGAGTTATGCCCCTTTAACTTTGAAAAAAGGAAATTGTCAGTTCCCATTCATTATCTCCCCAACAGTTGTACATATTCAACTCAAATTAAAGATATAGATATGTCATAAGCATGCATTGGTCATTTTCGAATTTGGTCATGGTTTGATGATAGCTGACAGAGTTATCCCTCTTGAACTTTGGAAAAAATATCAGAAATGTTAAGTTTCTATTCATTATCTCCCCAATGGTTGTACACATTCAACTCAAATTTGAAAGTTATCTCTCTTGAATGTTGGAAAAATTTTGAATTTTCAGTTTCAGCACTCATACTTTTGTGGAAATGTATGTAGCCATTATTTTCGCTACAAATATGCAATATGCAATTTACAAAAGGTTAACACTGAATAGTTGGTTTGTGTTAATATAGAATAGTTTTAAGGGCTTTAACTTGAAATAAAAAAAATAATTTGTGCAAACAAATTTGGAACTAAATATTAGAACATATGAAATTTTGGCTGCATGCGGGGGCATCTGTGGCGTGACGCTACATTTCTAGTTTAAAATATAGTTCCTAAACTTTTAATATATGATCCTATAAATTTGATAAGAATGGTATTCCTTTTTCTCTAACTCCTCTACCACTTGCACATCAATCTTGCATTTCCTACACAAAATGCACATGCATAAGAACTCTTACCTTGCTATGGGATGACATTTATTATGTTGCTATTATAATAAGAAAATTACATGTGACTTATAAAATTTCTTCAATAAACAAATTGTGGCAGCCATTTTGGGCGCCATCTTGGATTTCTAAGCCAGCACCACACACAAAAAAATTATGCCACAATTTTGTGATATAAAAGACATAATAATTATGCGATCATTTTGGTATAAAACACAATTTGTTCTACTGTAATGAAAATTTCACATAGATTCAGCACCAATTGTGACCATACTATATGGGATAAAGTTCATCGTACTGTAAAAAAATTTCCTTTATTTTTTTTCTATTTCAAAGATTTGGTAAGAAGTTTCCAAGACTTGGTAAGAAGGACATTGAACTAGACTCAAGTTCAGAAGAGGAAGAGGTCTTCAACAGATCTATCATTGACAATAACAATAACAGTTATGGGTAAGCATGATGAGCTTTCATAATCTGATACATATTCCAATAGATTTCTGTTTGGTTAGATTTACATAGTGTATATTCTTTATACAATGCAATTCTTTTTCTGTAATAGTAAATATAGAAAATGATCATTTCAATGATTGAATGACAGTGCTAGGAAGCTTCAGATCTTGCCCTCAAACAAACTAAGTCTGCAACTTTTATATATCTTGCTGTTTTCACTACATCCAAAGGATCCTTTTGAATACGCCCGAAAGAATTTCGGCATATATTATTATGCACCTGGTTGTCTGTCCGTCTGTCTGTAAACAGGTTTTCGTGTCAAGTCTGTACTTTTTGAACGGTGGAAAGAAATTAAAACTACTTGGCAGAAATGTAAACCATCATGTGCAGTTTTGACCTTTATCAGGCCAAGGTCACCCTTAGCCATTTTGTATCAATATCAAAATTTTGTTTCCGCACTGTATCTTTTGAACTGATAGAAAGAAATTAAAACTTTTAGCAGAAATATAACTCATATTGACACGGTGTCCAGAACACAAGTTCGGACTTCCTAGCTAAGATCAAAATTGGCTCCGCCCCGGGGATTTATTGTTTTATATAGACTTATATAGACTTATATAGGAGCTTTCGTGTCAGGTCTGTATACTGAGACGATGTGCATGACCGAATTTGAATTTATTAATTTTTTGTTCACTGGGTCAGAAGTCATGCAACCTGATCACATGACTAATTGGCTTCCCATAGGGGGCATACATGTTTTACAAACATATCTTGTTTTACGTTCACTTGTATTAGATGATATTAACACTTGAATTAGATGATATTAACAGCAAAAGTCTACGTTATATGGGATTGTCCCTCATATTAAAATAAGAAATAACTATACATGTAGATGGAGGCCATATATACAGTGGTCTTTAAGTTCGTCCTTTTACACACTTTCATTGCTTACTGTTTTTATTTAAGAAATAATACATCCCACAAAGTGACTTTATTGCTCAGTAAAATCACTGTTTGGAGTTTGGATGCGAGGAATTATATCACAAGGGCATAGCCCAAGTGATATAGTGATGCGCATCTGAACCGCAAACAGTGATTTACCAAGCGATTAAATCACCAATATATTATTTTGATTCTATTGACATCATTTGAAATTTTCCCTAAAAATTATGAATGCTTTTGATGGAATAGTGCATTTGTGCCTGATTTGTTTCCGTACTTATTTTAAGCGCATCACATTTATTTGTGGTTATGTCACATGTATAATGATTACGTCACATGTCTAAATATAGAAATATAGAACATCAACAGTAATTTATAGCATAATAACACACACTTTCGGTTCTTCTATATTCAATATGGCTAACTGCAGGTCGTGTTAGAGTACATCCTCATTTTCTGGAAAATTGAATATTTGACATTTATAAACCATAAAATGTTAAAGGTTACACTTGAATGAAGTTTCTATTACTCTAAATAAATATTTCGTTCTTTGCCAATATATATAGAGGATATTTGTTTGTTTTGCATGTAAGATTGAAATATAATTTCACTGAGTGAACACCAGATGCAATATTTTCACGAGTGGCGTAGCCACGAGTGAAAATATAATAGCTGGTGTTCACGAATGAAATATATTTCAATCTTATATGTAAAGCAAATAAATTTTCTTTTTATTTCATGCTTTTTAAGTGATTTTAAGTACTTTTTACTGATTTTGCCGCGTAATGTCGCGCATTCTCCTTTGTGACGTCATCACATCATGACGTCACATCATCAGTTTTGAAATTTAGTTCTGTTAAATTACTCTAATTTTGTTACATTTTTAACATGATGTAAGGTGACATCGACTTTCTTTTCCTAAAGAAGCAAAATTTACGTATGACGGCATTTATTTCTGCCTGTTATTCAATTTAGTTATGATTTTCTTTTCATCCGCATTCAGATATAGTTCGGCTACAGTGAAAATTATATTTTATAAATTTCACTAGTGGTTTATCAGAATATAATTATCTGATATATTACAATAAAACACTGGAAAGTATGAAATAAATAGTATTATTTGCCAACGTGCTTCTTCAAGTTACGTTGCATGGAATGAAATCTACGTTTGCAGTGTTTGAAATTGTAGGGGCCACAATACTGTATCAAAAGTTGTATTTCTACTTTTGCAAATAGTTTAGCAATGTGAATGTGTGAGAGCATTCACTAGGGTCACAAATACTCTTGTTTGTTCTTGCCACTGTTCATATCGAAAGACAATTAGTTGAAGTTTTTTAGGACATTTTATATGACAGAGGAAGATGAGCATATTGTTATATGACAGAGGAAGATGAGCATATTGTCACTTAAAAGTTAAATCATTTCTGTCTGCAACAAAATTGGCTTATTGTCCTAATCAAAATATCATATTTTTTTCAGAAACTCTCCTTCATCGACACCGATTTCAACGCCAACAAAAATGAAAGTAAGGAAGCCGCTTTTACAATGATGAATCATTGAGATGTAGTCAAGCTAGAACAATGTGATCAAAATAATGACAATGTTCATCTAAGACTGTGATATCATAACGAATGTGATTTATTGTATCTTTTTACTTTTACATTATTTGCTTCTTCTATAATTTGTTCTTCAGATGCATTAATAAATGTTTACAACCTCAAAATACAGTTGTGTGCCCTATATTTAAGCAAGTGACAAAAATATAGATTGAAATTCTATCTTAGTGCCAGAAAATCACAACAATTTAGCATTCACATAATTATAAATTTAAAAGCCTGAAAAATTGAATGACTAATCACAATTCTCAATGCTATTTAATTTTTAGTTCGACTATACGATGTATATGGAGATCTGTTGGATTCAATCACAACGTCCGCGTTCAGATTTCAGATTAGAATTTTGGTGTAGTAAAATATTTTTTTCTATAACCTTTTCATTTCTTAGGGTATCAACTTCAAATTTCAGTAGTATATAAAAATGAGTTTTACAGCCTGTCTGCTGCCCCTGCTGCTAACCACATGACTCTTACGTTAACAGGTCATCAATAGGGGTTATTTTCAGAACCATTGTAAAATACTGATAGGCACTCCCTATACTGCCGTACATGTCTATATGATCACTATTATGACACATTGCAAAGTGATGCCCTATCCCCTAAAAGGATGAGGTCAGTATGGATAACATTGTTTAACTCAACTTTCTTTTTGAAAAAAGAGGTATTGTTACAGTCATGGAACCGTTTCCATTGCTGTTTCCCTCCGCAAACTTTTTAAGTTCTTAGTGTATTGTCTTCATACTTGGCCAAAACAACCCTTGGGACAAGACCTTTAAGAAGACTAGACTAAACTTGACCTTCATTCATTAATGACATTGACCTTCAAGGTTGAATGTCAAAATTTTGCTTGAATTTTGCTATTAGTGGCTAATTACTTTGTTTTTTTAATGGATTGTACAGTGGCATAGAGGTGACATCTGCAGTTGTGGCCAAGTTTTATTACCTTGCGGCCTCAAGATATTATATTACCTTGTGGCCACGACTTATTATCTCGTGGCCAAGACTTACTATCTTGTGGCCAAGAGTTATTATCTCATGGCCACCAGTTATTATATTGAGGCCACAACTTATTTTATCCAATGAAAATGGTTGTTTCATCTTGAAAAAAATGTTAATATCACACTGGCCATTGCTTTCGCAGATGTGATGGGGGGTCAAAACGCTGCGGCAGTGAACAAGGGGAACATTTTATAATTATTATTGTACCCTTTTCTCCTTTTTTGTATGGTCAGATTTTTCGTTCATTCTTCTATAAAGTATTTAATTAAGACATATAGGCAGTTTATGTATACTTTGAAGATCTCTTATTCAAATCAAATGCCACTTTTCCCTTTGAATCCCTTTGATTTGAATCCCCGCTAGTGACTTGTATCTAGATACATGTAATTAATTATTGAAGATATATTACGCTGTCAAAATGATTAAAAACTAAATTTGACGGGTTTTCTGAGTCTCTGTCTTTTTATCAAAACTGACAGATACATATTTATTTCAGCATTGACCTGACGCTTCTGCGAAAGCTACATGGCCAGTGAAACGCACTCATTGGATAGCATTAGATGAGCAAATTTAACATTTGACTTACTGAAAATTAGTGAGTTAATTTGACACCTCTGTCAGAGGCTGTCTCTAGTGTAATTACCAATAATAGCTGATTTTATGAACCCCATTTGACCCCTTATTAAATGTAATAATTCTCAAGCAGTATCAAACAAAAATATTTGTGCATTGTGGTAATATTTCATGCCAATAAAGGTTTTTCCCCCCTTTTTTTCATTTCTCTTATTTATTGATTAATTTTATTTATTTATTTTTAAGCATTTTAAGCATAGGTAAGCATTATTATACTCAATGAAACACCCTTGTGACAACTTTTCGAATAGTCGAGCGTTACTGTCCTCCGACAGTTCTTGTTATTTTATCTCGCTGCACGACGGTCCTGAGGATTTTGTGCAACACACTGCACTTGTACATGCATATTAAAGTCCCATAACGTTACCAACCAACTAACTCAATTTGTTGATTTTGCCAATATGCATACTTGGAATTTGTGTTTCCGGTTTCTCTTGTGTGATTTCTGCTAAAATAGTTGTATTTGATGTTTGTGTTATATTTTTTGTGTGAATTCCGCTAAAATGTAAACATGTGATGAGGTATTTTAGTTCTTGTTATTAGAAGGGGTGGGTTAAATTGGTTAACTATGATTTAAATGTAAAATGCGATTTTGGTCAGGTCAACGCGTCGTTTTTCGAATTGTCTCCCACCTATGTTAACTAAAAATGTGTTTATTGTTTTTGTGTATTTTGCTTACATGTTAACATGCAATTAGGTATTTTACTTGATATTATTCGAAGGGGTGGGATGGTTTGATCAATTATTTTCTAAATGTCAACTGCGATTTTGGTCAGGCTTACGCGCGATTTTTACCTTACGTGGATGTTTGCTAATATTTTCATTGTTGATTATGAATAGTTTCCCACCTATATATAAACTAAAAATGTGTTTCTTTTTGTGTCTTTGTGTATTCTGCTGAAATGTAAAATGCGATCAGGTCAGCGCGTCGTTTTTTCGAATTGTCTCCCACCTATGTAAACTGAAAAATGTGTTTCTTGTTTATTTTGTGTATTCTGCTAAAATGTAAATAATTATGTGATTAGGTATTTTAGTTGATATTATTGAAAAGGGTGGGAGGGTTTGATAATTTATGGTTTAAATGTAAAATGCGATTTTGGTCAGGTCAACGCGCCGTTTTTCTAATATTAGTTCTTTTATGTAAACTAAAAAATGTATTTCTTGTTTATTTTGTGTGATTCTTCTATTTGCGATTTTGGTCAGGTCAGGTCTTTACAATTATGGTTTTACGCGCGATTTTTACCTAACACGTTTTTTTTTGCTTAACTTTAACTACATGACTTGTTTTATATAAAATAGCATCACCCATACTGCCCTATAATATTTAATATGTATTGTTTAACTGTTGATGTCAACTGTTGATATCTTCCACCTATGTAAACTAGCAACACTGTGTTTCTTTTTGTTGTTTTTTGCGTGAATTTTAAAATGTTAAAAAATGAGTTATGTTACGCATTATTTTATGTAATTATAGATTTGAAGGTCTAACTATACACGCGCGATTTTTACCGAATGCGGTGTTTTGCTTATACAAACATACTTTAAATTATCTCGGCCATAGTGTCCTATAATATTTGACATCTGTTGTTTAATGGTTGATATTTCACATCTTAATTTTGCGTTTCTTGTTCTTTTGTGTGACTTCTGTTAAAATGTTAATATATCGATGTATTTTTGAAGTAATGTATTTTACTGTATTATGTTATATAAATTTTGCAAAATATTTTGATACTATGGTATTTGGAAGTTGTCAAATTCACTGAATTCATCCAGCTATGTGTCAGGTTACTCTGCGAATGGTCTAAACAGATGCCCCTGCAAATTTGTGATGAGGATATGGATGGCAGTGTTACATTGATAGAGTGTTTGTTTTGGAGTGGCACGATCAACCGAGCATTGATCGAGTACAATTGGAAAATTAAACGAGACTTACCTTAGTAAGGTGAAGTTTAGTTGAAATTTCATCGACCACAATTCCCCCATGGAGCTTCACATAGAGAGATGACGCAGCTATCTGCTGGAACTTATCAGACTTTAGAGGGGTTTCTGATAGAAACCACACAATATAAGTATCGGAAATTCTAAGATAAATTTAGGCACTTACCGTTTGAAATTCTCCGAAATGTTATCCTAAATATTTCTTTTCTTTAAAAAAGTGAAGAATTAGTATTGATTTTACGTTAAGTACTGTGATTTTTGAAAGATATAAATTGTGAATTTTTCTCTAGTGCTGATAGCCCAGCCGTTTAGCCTCGTTCTGATAAGTTCCAGCAGATAGCTGCGTCATCTCTCTATGTGGGGCTCCTTGGGGGAATATGTGGGAGATGAAATGCATATTTTGTATATGACATCGTCAGTCTGAGGGCAGACTTCAGCATGCAGGTACTTTCTTTCATTGAATACTAGTATTTCAATAAGTAAATATTATTTTAAAGGTTTTTAATAGATAAGAAATAATTTTAGTAAGACATAGTTGATTAGAGTTGGCAAGAAATCTATCACATGGAAAGCTTGTGGTTGTACTCGGATACCGGCCCTTGCCTGTAACAAATGCTCGGCTTTAAACACAATTTTTTAGTAATATGTTGAATAGTGAAAATAGTTTATATAGAGGATATTGAATGAGTGTAGTTTAATACTAAATTTATTGAACAAGTTGGATAAAATCATATTATGCGAGCCTCTGGCGAGCATAATATTGTTTTATTACATGTTTTGCAGTAGATTACTGAATTATAACGGTTAATTATATTCTGATAATTTCACAGTAATGATTACCAAATATAATTTCACAGTAGCCGAACTATATTTGGCGTAAAAATAAAATATTTATCATTAATGAATGTTTTTTCAGCGGAAATGTAGTCAATCATAATAAAAAATGTACGTGATAACTGTAGTTCGTAAATATTTACGAACGTTGTGCTGAAAACATCTAAAATCTAAAAATAATCATGGAATTATATTTTGCTTCAACATTGTGACGTCATTATTTGATGACGTCATGAAGATAAAAGCATGACGTTACGCGGCAAAAATTAGTAAAATGGTGTAAAAATCGTTAAAAAATCATGAAATAAACAGAAAATTTGTTTGTTTTACATGTGAGATCAAATAATATTTCACTCGTGAACCCCAGCTATTATATTTTCACTCGTGGCTACGCCACTCGTGGAAAATATTGCATCTGGTGTTCACTCGGTGAAATATTTTTCGATCTTACACTGAAACAAACAAATATCCTCTATATATTCAACGAGTTCAATTAATTTAGTATTGAACTCGTTGAATATTATATTCTATTTATCACATATGTAAAATAAGAACAGTAAACTGTTAAAATTAGTAATATTTCAATGACGCACCCATAGTGTAACGCTAACATTACCGCGCTTTAACGCTATGTTTCCATATAGCGCAAATGACGTCACGTCAAAGTGTTATTACACTAGTGTAATATCGTTTTTATTAAATAGAGGATATTTGTGTAGTTCAGTGTAAGATCGGAATATATTTCACCGAGTGAGCACCAAAAAGGTATATTTCACGAGTGGCGCAGCCACGAGTGAAATATGAACTTTTGGTGTTCACAAGGTGAAATATATAGAGGATATTCACTGTTGTACAGCGTCCACCGGATATAGCCCCTAAAACACCGAAAACGAAAGTAGAAAGCTGCACACCGAGTACGACCAAGGTAATGTTTTAACTTATTTCTTCATCATAACTTCATCGATTTTTCCAAACTAAACAATATTGTGAAGCTAAATATGTCTAGTTTTAGAGCAGTGTTTGCTTTTGTCTGCAAATTAAATACTTTTTGTTAAATTGGTGATAAAATGTAGCGTATTTGTTGACATTTGCGAACGATGTTGATATTTACCACTAAATCAAGCACAAAACGCATTTGCTGTATCAAATTCCGCCGTTAATACAAACTATAATCATCCCTCTACTTATATTTGAGTTTTCACCCTTCAACTCGAGCTGCTTTGAACAAAATTTGCGAAAAACTGCCTTGCCTTGTGTACAGAGTCTAGCACGGATGTGTACGGGGTGTAGATGGAAAACTGTTAGCGATTGTACGGGGTATAGTAGGTAAACCAATGTCATTTTCTACAAAATGAATTCAGTACCAGAGCATATACACGTGCGCTGATGAAGAAAACGATTTATGTCGGGATCAGGGATTGTGAAGTGAATGATTTTAATTTTATAAAGGATAAAAATGTTTAATTAAATTGTAAACATGTTACGCAACATGTATATTAATTGCAGTAAACAGTTTCCGTCCTGCTATACCACTTTTTATGCGTGACTATAAGTTAATAGGAAAAATGTAAAACTCAAAAGACCACAATTTCATTCCATATTGGTAGAACATTATGTACAGGAAATTCTATAATTTGTCTTAAACAATTTCAAACCATGTTCGAGTTATGCATTGTGAACTTAACTTGATCTAAACTTGTTATATTGGTTTATTATGTCACCGGTCTTAAGACTTCATTGAAAAACAAACATATGTTAATGAGCTTTGGTAAAATATCCGCCTTGATTAGTTAGGTTAATCATTAGATTTATCTTTGTGGAAATACTATATTACTGGCTATAAAGTCCTTCATATTTTTTTGCAGTCTCACTTGTGATTTCGATATTGTTTAATGAATACAATGCTTCCGCTTATATGCTGCTACTTTTTCTGAAAATGATTATGATGACTCTTCAATGATGATGATGACGATGATGATGATAATGATTGTATTTTATGAATGCAATACCAATGTATAGAGTGTGCAGAGAGATATGAAACATTTAAAGAGTCTATTCGGCATATTATTATTGGTATCTTCTAAGTCGACTAATAGCTTATATAAGGCGACTAAAACTGTTTTATATATAGAAGACAGTGCTAATGCCGTTTTGTAGAAAATGACACTCCTGCATAATCTTTTAATCAATTTTCGACCGCCTGTCTTATGTGTCGATTAGTTATACATGTATATTATTAGTTATAAAGATCGTTGACAGGTTATATGACCCTATATAAAGGGCTATTTGTAAATATGTATATTGCAAACAGCCGTTTATATACGGCCATATAACCTGTCAACAATCTTTATAACGAATTTATAATACAGCAAGCATCATTTTTAGAGAAAAAATTAAGATTTCTTCATGAATCGACAGCAGCCGTGTATATAAAACTATATAAACGTCACGATTATCCAATGAAAAATGACGTTACAAATGTGCAATATTATAAATACAAATATATCCCCATTCGGACCATCTCCATTCAGCGAGTTGGTTAGAAGACTCCTGATATTTGTTTGTTTGTGTGTAAGATGAAATTTTATTTCATCGAGTGGGCTTTAAAAACAGTATTCTCACGAGTGGCTACTTCCATCCAATAAATTACTGTATGTGTCATTTAATTCTATTACAATTCTGGTTTCAAATTGTCCAACCTATGTCATAATATATTCTGCCGCGATGCACTGGCCTTTTCATGTTTAAATGTTGAATTCTGCTTAAGCCGGTGCTAGAGGGCGTGAACGGTAACTTGCACTTTCCAGTACCGTCAATGAACAGGCTCAATCAAACCAAGCCTGCAACATTTTCAATTTTGTCGTGCTGGGCTTTCTTTAGGGATTCTGTATTTATCATTTTTATTGGCAGACACAAAGTTGATCAAGACTGGTCACGATCCTTTCGAGAGGACCAGCACTTATTCACTCGCAAAAAGGTTTCGTGTTTGTGGCAGCTTTCTACACCTTTGTACTGGCAGATTTGTAAGACTGGAAGTTGTTTCATTGTTGAGAGAGATGGATATGGTGTTTTGTTAGAAAATATGTCCACTTTAATCTTCCAGGTATTACATGTAGTTCAAATCAAGAAAATGATTCATGAAAATATTTAAAATGAATTGGTCTATGGTAAACAGTATTTCTAATTACTTCATGATTGCCTTTATTAACCTATGTCAAAACTTGTAGAATCGAATATTTTTAAGAAATAAAGATTTATTCTCTTTTAAGATCATTGCCTATATATTTATTAAACCTTTTTTAGCTCACCTGTCACAAAGTGACAGGGTGAGCTTTTGTGATCGCTTTTCGTCCGGCGTCCGTCCGTCGAACGTCCGTAAACTTTTACTTTAAATGACATCTCCTCATAAACCACTAAGCCAATTTCATCCAAACTTCACAGGAATGTTTCTTTGGTGGTCACCTTTGAAAATTGTTCAAAGAATTTAATTCCATGCAGAACTCTGGTTGCAATGGCAACCAAAAAAAACAATTTTAAATATCTTCTTCTATAAAACCCAAAGAGCTAGAGCTTAGATATTTGGCATGAAACATCTTCTAGTGAGTGTCTACCAAGTTTGTTCAAATAAAAGCCCTGGGGTCAAAATTGGCCCCACCCCAGGGGGTCATTGATTTTCCCTATATGCATATTGTAAAAACTTAAAAAATCTTCTTTTAATGAACCCAAAGAGCTAGAGCTAAGATATTTAGCATGAAACATATTCTAATGGATGTCTACCAAGTTTGTTCAAATAAGAGCCCTGGGGTCATTGATTTTCCTTATATGTGTATAGCAAAAACTTAAAAAATCTTCTTTGAAAAAAACCAAATAGCTAAAGTTTAGATACTAAGCATGAAACATTTTCTAGTGAGTGTCTACCAAGTTTGTTCAAATAAAAGCCCTGGGGTCAAAATTGGCCCCGCCCCGGGGGTTATTCATTTTCCTTATATGTGTATAACAAAAACTTAAAAAAATCTTTTTTGAAAAAACTCAACTAGCCAGAGTTTAGATATTAAGCACGAAGCATCTTCTAGTGAGTGTCTACAAAGTTTGTTCAAATAAAAGCCCTGGGGTCAAAATTGGCCCCGCCCCGGGGGACATTGATTTTCCTTATATGTGTATAGCAAAAACTTAAAAATCTTCTTTGAAAAAACCCGAATAGCTAGAGTTTAGATATTAAGCCTGAAACATTTTCTAGTAAGTGTCTACAAAGATTGTTCAAATAAAAGCCCTGGGGTCAAAACTGGCCCTGCCCCAGGTGTGTCATTGTTTTTTACTATATGTGTAAAGAAAAAACTTGACCAGCTAGACCTTAGATGTTTAGCATGAAACATCTTCTAATGGGTGTCTACTAAGTTTGTTCAAATAAAAGCCCTGAGGTTTAAACTGGCCCCGCTCCGGGGGCCTATATACAGGTGAGCAACTTCAGGGCCATCATGGCCCTCTTGTTCATTTAAGGAGTTGGAGATGTGACTTGATGACAGAAACGAATTAGTAATTTTTTGTTGATGACAGGAAAAAAATCGACAGCCTGCATACTGGTATGTATGATTTTTTGTGTTGAATTGTGATTAAATATAAATAAATAAAACCACTAACAAATTGTAATTTGATTGAAAAGATTTTTCGACAAAAGTAATTGGTCAATTTAGGTTTAGTGAGGATTGAAAAAATCAAACTATAATTCTTTTAAGGTATTATCAAGCTGAGGGTTAAATCATTTTTGTTCTTTTAAGAAGCGGTTATAAAAGCTGTGCGCACTTACAATCTGGGATGCTTTATTAACACTTCATCTGAGCTAAAAAAAAGGTTACTATTTGTAGACATGAGCATGGTCAAGGAATTGGATATGATGAGTCAGTAAAGATTACATGAGATTGAAGAGGTAAGTTTATATGATATTATAATCATTACATTCATTTGAGGGGTAATGCACCCTTCAAATATTTCACAGAAATATCCTGCAAGAATTTATAAGTTGGATATTTGTAAGACAAACATGAGAAAAGCAGAAGTTTAATTTCAAGGGCTAAGATGCAATGAGAAAGCTCGGAATTATTTGAAAGGGGCAAAATTAATAAAAATATTTATATTTTATTGCTGAAAAGATTGTAGGTTTCTCTAATACACATGAACATTGTTCAGATATATCATACAAGTGCTTGGATTTTAACCTAAATTTAATATATATCTTTACTGTAGTTGGCAATCAAAAAATCGATGAAAATCCATGTCATTAGACATGCAATTGGTATTATCTAAAAGCTAATTATGAAATTTTATTATCCCAACAGAGCACAACAGGAATTCACAGGAGATACTCCTTGCTAATTTGAGCATTATAGAATATCCACACATACGACACCAAGAATCAAACTATGCAGGTAATTTTATATGATCAATGTATTATACAGATAACTGTTGGTCATTTTCATTGTTGATTAATAATTTCTCTAATCCCGATTGCAAAATGTGATTACATTACATAAATGTACTTTAATATCTAAGTTGTTGGCATGATTTAAGTTATTACTTATGTTTTTCAGTGTCATATTTAGTTCAAATGTTTATCCTGAAAATATTTTAAAACGGCAAGTTTGCACCATGTCTATGATTGGGTGCATTGTCGGGATAAAAGGATGAATAATTTTGTTGACCATACTTTTTAAAGACATTTTTCTTTTTCTTTTTAATAATGAACCGTTTACTTTTTAAACAAATTAATGTAGAAGAAATATATTAAACATCTATTGCAAAACTTCTATTTAAGGGGAGTGGGGATCTAGTGGTTAAGGTATCTGCCTCTCAAGCCAAGAATCATGGATTCGAGCCCGACTCGGGTCACGATCATGACTCCTCATATGACACCAGTACTGGGTTCCAGGAAAGGGATTAATATAAGGTGCAAGAACTTGTTTCGCAATCAAGCTAAAATAATTGTTTAAATTCATGAAATAATTTTTTTTCTCCTAAATATTTGTATTTTGACATGAATGATATGAATCTGTTTTTATTTTCACAGGACCGATTCTTCATGGCGAACGAGAAATATGATCGATGTTAAACATTTAATTCCGGAATTACATGTGTATGGACACTAAAGTGACATTTACCATAGAAACTGTCTGGCCACTGAGTGGGGGAGAAGTGTAGCGATTTTGTGTGGACTCAAACTATCCAGTATATTGAAGTGAAACATGGTGTTTGTGATTGGACTAACTATAAAACTACACTTCTTCCAATGCATCCTAGTTCTAGAAACTAGCATGTCCCAATTAAGCAATGATAAAAGCAGAGGGGGAGAAATGAAGTTCATAGTTTAATTTTTTCCCCTTTGGTCTAAATTTTTTCAAAGTTTTTATTTTTATCATTGTAATTTTTGGGATCATTAACTTAATTTTTTGATCATCACCAACGTCATATATGACAAGGCTCATAACTCTATCATCTTTTCCATTTTTTTTTTTTTGATGCGTTTATTTAAGGTCGCCGCCTGAAAGCCCATATGGGCGACCGTACACTCAAGTCGGGCCATCCTAGAGCGTCCCGCCGAGATTTTTCGTCATTTTTTTTCCAGCTTTATTTGTCACAATTTGGTGGAGGAGGACCCCAAGTGCCCCTCCGGGCATTATTTCAGGCATGAGTGGGCACCTTGGTAGAACCACCGACCTTCTGTAAGCCAGCTGGATGGCTTCCTCACAATCGTGATCTTTTCCATAATAGTGATATTTCTATATATTATACCTCATTTGCATACGGTCTTCTATATTCAATACGACGTCATCCGGTCCATAAACCGCATACAGACCGGGGGCGGTCCATAATTCTTATGAAGACCTTTTAAACGTATAGCTTTCATGACGTGCGAATTTCACAACGACACAAACAGACGATAAATGTGAAAATGGCTAGGCGATTTGTCTCTTTATCAGAGACGTAAATGTATTACATGTTGATCAAAAGTCATGATTTGTCTTTAATTTAGTTATAAATTTTATTTATACTGTTTGTGAAATTCTTAAAGTCCGGGGTTTTTTTGCCTAGTAACATTAAATTAATATTGAATTTGATTAACAAAAATGGAATTACAACTCCTCCCAGCAAACAAAAGACGTTGTACCAACGTTGTACTGACGTTAGACGCTGACGTTGGGTAAACGTTGGCAGAAGGTTGGATTTGAAAGTTTTTTAGATGTCAGAATCCGACGTCTATACAACGTCATAAAATGACCCTTATCCAACCTTATCTGACCATAATCCAACCTTTTCTGACCATCATTTGGACATAACCCAACCTTTTCTGACCATTATCCAACCTTTTCTGACCATTATCTGACCATAATCCAACCTTTTCTGACCATCATCTGACCATAATCCAACCTTTTCTGACCATTATCTGACCATAATCCAACCTTATCTGGCCATGATTTAACCTCATTTCAAACTTTTTGGAATATGATTTTTTTTTTCATTTTAAGCTCATTAGTAGGGTAAACAAATAAGCATTCTTATAATTCTAACAATTTATTTTCAATACGAATCACATGTACAAAACAATAAATGTGGTACTATAACAAATGTAACATTAACATATGTATTTTGAAACTATTAAATTTGACAGTCTGTACGTATAAAATAACGCTTCATGTATAAAATAATCATGTTTTAGATATACTAAATTCTTTATAAACACTAACACTGACATTTTTTATGGTTAACATTCATGCATGTTTTTCTTATATCACCAAGGCTTATTTCCGACTGAACCGATCACCCTGAGGTTGGGATTTTCCAATCATCTATCCAACTCACTGATTGTATATTTTTCTTTGTACTTTTTATCTGAATGTTAAATGGAACAATATTGTGAATATTTTGATATTACTACAAATAGCAATCTTCATATATCTTAATTAGCATTCTTCTTTCGTCCACCTCCACTTTGGCGATCTGCGGCATACTTTAAAGTTTAAGCATATCATAATCTGAACTTCTACCGTCTCCAACCTGAGATATCATCATTCACACTATCTGAAATTTAAAAATAAATTAAATAATCACTTACAATTGCAAGAAATAAATCACTTTTACATATTACAATTAAATGAAATTCTGACAAAACTCTGTTCTACTTTAACAAAAGAGGCTTATTTTTTTATTTACTTTAGTTTAAACCATGTTGTTTCATGTACCTATATATCCATTAATTTTGATAAAAACGGCTTCGTGATCAATGTAATATTTTGAAATATACCTGTCACAAAATCTTGTGTTTCTCTTCTTCTTTTCCTCTTAATAATTTCATCTTCATCCTCTGAACTTTCGACAGTTGTTGAATTATCATAATTTTCACAATCTCTGATATTCACTGAAAGACAAAACAATAAATTATTATGATTATCAAAGCACGTTTACGAAAACAACCTGATAAAATGTTCAATTAATTATTTTCATTAAGTATGACCTGAAAATTTATTCAGAAATTACGATTTTTGCCTGCGCAAAATTTAATATGAAAATAATATTTTTTATATTTACAAATGTATTATAATTTATACAAATGCTACAACATCAAAGAAATTCACATGTTACTGTCATTTTTATAGATATAATCTCTGCCCAGCATGATCCGATCTGCTAAGAGTATAAAGGACAGACCGGCTGACGGTACAAACGTTTTATGATATATGCATATAACTTGTTTCACTATATTTGATAAGCAGGCTAATAAACAAACTATTATTTTTATTGATTTATAACCTTGATAATGTGTTTACTGACTGATAATATGTTGTCTGATTACATTAATGAAAAGATAAGTAGTCGAAAACAATGTGGTTTCAGATACATCTTACCAAAGTTGTACCATTTTATTTTAGATCATGTATCAAATGCCATGAATCATTATCATAATATAAGAAACACGTGGTATGCTATGCTGAAGAATTTAACAACCTGTAGTTAAACAACTACACAGACATCAAAATCAAACTGTGCTTGCATGAGACCCTACAGTTATCTGATTCATGTGTAAATGACTGGCCCCTCATATAAGGGAAGTTCATGTTGATAAGAAATAAGAGGAAATTTTATATGCCAGCATTTGAATAATAGAGTCTAATTAACGTAACAAGTTACTGCATTTAACCTTTTATTGATTTCAATTGCTAGTGTATTTCATACCATTGATTATGCAAAAAAATAATTTGGCAATGGCGATATAGTGTGGGAAAAATGATCCGATAATACAAATTGTTCTAAAGCAAATAATAAAGTGCTTTAACGAGGGATCGAAAATATTTATCTCGCGAAATCATGTGACTTTAAGTTTTACCAGTCAAACTTTACAATGATTAATAAACCGTCGAATCCATGCAAACATGCGGTAAATAAGCATTAAAAACAATAAATATCGTTTGCCTACCTTTTTCTATTTGTTTGGAATATACAACTTTGTCTGTCAACCCGTCGTTTTTGTCCGCCAATACAATTGAATTTCAAATCCGATAAGACTCCAATTCGAATTTACTAGATTATGTACCACCACAAAATGAAGCCCACAAAAATGATTACAACTTCATTGTTAATTATTTAAACACTTCTTTGACAAATTCGAGGAGATAAGTTATTATTAAAAAACAATAGAGCAAATATATATGATACTGATCTGCGGATATCCGTTTACCGAGCGCCACCTATCGAATATCGTACGGTAGCCACCCACGTGACACTGTTGTTGTTTTGATTAGGCAAATAAATTTATAATTTTCCCTTTCTAAAGAAACTTAAAATTCTCACTGTTTATGCTTATATTTACATATATTGGTTTTATAAATTAATTTTACCAATTGTCAGATTACCGACCAAAGTCCGACGTCGAGTCGACGTCAAAATGAAACGTTTGTTCGACGTCGGGGTTTCAACGTTGGATTGACGTTGTGTGAAGGTCGCCGACGTCGCGACCAATTTTCAACGTTGATCCAACGTTGTGTCAACGTTGGGTGTTTGCTGGGCTAGATCATCGGTAATCGGAATATTAAAAGAAGAGTATGATTTTTGCTGCATTGCTTGAAAATAATAAAACAAAATCCGTCCAGGGTTTGATATATTTCACACACTGAACAAGTAAAATTATTATTTGGAAGCAAATAATAGTACAAGAGCGATCAGTAATCACATGTGTCGCCTCATGATGGCCAATTTTATGTTGGGACAAATTTTGTGACAGATGGACAGACAGACGGACAGTGCACACCTAGACTTGGTACTGATTATTCCTGTAAAGTTTGGATAAAATTGCCCCAGTAGTTTATGAGGAGTAGTGCGGACAAGCTTTTGCGTATCTGGCAACACACAAAAAAAAACACCTTTTTTATCAAAGGGCCATAACTTGGCCAAAAATCATTCAACCGGAAAACCCGTGCAATATGCGCAAGGACTTGAGCTACAGATCAATTCTGTAAAGTTTCATTGAAATTGCATTAGTGGTATAAGAGAAGTAGTCCGGACAAACTTTAAAAATAAAAATTATTAAAGGGCCATAACTCAGACAAAAATCATTGAACCGGAAAATGCTGACAATATGCACAACTAGACTTGGTACTGATCATTCCTGTAAAGTTTGGATGAAATTGCACGAGTAGTTTATGAGGAGTAGTCCGGACCAGCTTTTGTGTATCTGGCAACACACAGAAAAAGAAACACCTTTTTATCAAAGGGCCATAACTCGGCCAAAAATCATTCAACCGGAAAACCCGTGCAATATGCGCAAGGACTTGAGCTACAGATCAATCCTGTAAAGTTTCATTGAAATTGCATAAGTGGTACAAGAGAAGTAGTCCGGACAAACTTAAAAATTAAAAATTATTAAAGGGCCATAACTCTGACAAAAATCATTGAACCGGAAAATGCTGACAATATGCACAACTAGACTTGGTACTGATCATTCCTGTAAAGTTTGGATGAAATTGCACCAGTAGTTTATGAGGAGTAGTCTGGACAAGTTTTGTGACGGACGCACGGACAGACAGACAGACAGACAGACGGACAGACAGACGGACAGACAGACGACGGAGAAGTGATCCCTATATGTCGCCACTACTCCGTAGAGGCGACACAAAAAATGACAGCACAAAACAAGGGGATCAATTTTGAGGTAAATCTACGATTGTTGACGCATGACGATGAACACCGGAGTATCCCCCTTTGATACTGATAGCTCACCCTGAACATTCGGTTCTGG